CACGTGCAGCTGGATCTGCAGATCCACCGTTTCCAAGTTCGGGCTCGAATAAGTGAAACAAGAGCTTATATTCATATGAAGTTGGACAGTCTTGCATGACTGTCTTCTTTTCTCCTTCTGTAATCTTAGAATAAAGTGTGAGTAGTGCTTTAAGAAATGCTTTCTATAGTAGATTAATGGATCTGTAAAAAACAATTTTCCATTCACTTTAGGACAATGGTTTACAGATTTTCATTGCAAATGTTGATCAAATATACTCTAGTAAAAAATCAAATAGTCTTTATTTTAATTCAAGTTAGTTTTAACAAAAAATGGCCAAGATTGTGATTTCAAAACAGTAGAAATTGCTTAGCTTGTAAAAAAAAAGTTTCAGATTGTTCCCAATGCTAGCACTTTCTCTTTCTGTCATTTTTGCAGTGTTTTTCTCTATTTGAAAATGTGTTAGTTGTGTGTTATGTGTTTCAATATTCTGGCATGGCTTTGTGCAGTCGCAGTCCGTGCAGATCGTCCATGTATAAGATGAAGACTATTCTCAACAAGTGTGTCCTTGTATCAGGGTGCATAATGCCCCCTGTGTCCGGGTGGGACAGGTTATGTAGCGGTGCACAAGGCAGTGTCCTGTTGAGCCCTGACCACACCTCTGTCTCCTCCGTGCGTACTATCAGGAGCCCCGCGGTCATGGTTAGCACTGTGGTGGAGCAGGGCTGAGCAGAGCGGCCGTGCGCTGGCCTCCTGAGACACAGGGGTGAGCTTTGAAGTTAAAAGTGTGGCTGCGAGACAATATAACAGCAGAGGCTGAATATGAGAGGTGCTGCACCACGGAGCAAAGGTGCAAACACAGTCTCTAGATCAGATTTGTAGTAAGTACTCTTCAGGTCAAGCTTGTTACAACAGGAATATGAAAAGAAGTGTAACAGCAGAAATGTAATAATTCATTCAAACAAATAAATTCATTTTTCTATTTAATGTTTATAAAACCTACTGTAGATCCACATGGCTCCTGACGTATAATGAAAAGGTATAAACTCATTAGTGCTGTAATTTGCTCATTTACTGTTCATATATTTTCAAAGGCAACTTTTCGTCTCCCAATGTTAATATTTAATTTTCAAATTATTAAATTATTCATCTAAGCTACAAAGTGCATTGCATGTACATAATATGGCAAAGAATCCACACAATGCATAATAATAGAAATCTGCAGAGCTGGTTATTTACCAATACTGTTTACTTTTTCTTTTCAAGTGGATTTATCAGTTTTTAGACCATTTTTATCTGGACTTTTAACTGCGTTTAAGAAAACCATAGGAGATGCACATGAGACATAATCAGTGGATATATGCACATGCTGAAATCGTCTATACGGTTTAGCCATATGATCAGGACACACAGCGGGCTTTATACCCTTATTTAATTATCCCTGCCGGTCCCATGACAGACGCCTAATAAGAAGACTAACAATTAGGACATGCAGCTACACGGAGGCCCTTTAAGAAAACATCAGATGGGATCTTTATCAAACATGTATTATATAAAGTCGTGTGCCATTCACAATTAAACAGATGATCAGCAGCAGCAGCAGCAGCGTGCATATGTGAACACTGGCCTGCTTTCCATCTCACAGTCCAACAGGGCATTCCTATACTTACAAAGGCCGCCTTCAGAAGGAATGGTTAAAACACAGCAGAGCACAGTCCGTTTAATGTTGTCTTTAGAAATATCTTTTGCACACTGTAAATAAGCCTCCTGTGATGAGTGAAGTTTAGAAATGGGACAAAATGGACCCTGGTTGTTTACTCTCTGTGTTAAAGAGGCAATCACCCTGTATCTCAAGATGAACTTAGAATTTTAATTTTGATATTGATACATTTACAAATACTCTTTAACTGTAACCATGTTTTAAAATCAATCATCTTGTGAAACTGCCATCACTCATAAATCAATAGGGGTTTTGCAATTTACGTTGTGAAAATAATTTGTTGATGAGAAGATTTTACACAAGATTCTTTACACATAAATAACGTGCTTTTTAAATCTGGCAGCAGGGAAAACAAAATAGTCAACTGTTTGATACATTCATGAATAGAAACATGCCGTGTGAGAGGGGGTTTGTGGCTCGTTGCTGCCATCCTGTGGTTATACTGTGAGTTACAAGTACTACGTGAGATATGTTGTTGAGATCGCTAATCTTTCATTTTCGTTTTCCTTGTTTTAAAGCTTGAGTAACACTGAAATCCCAACACATATGCAATAACATCCATGTAATAGTTCCTAGCTCTCAAAAAAAAAAAGTGTGGGTCTATCACCAGTTTCCACATGCAGGAATCTTTGGACTGGATTTTTCAGACAGTGAAGAGAGTGCCAGCTCTCACTCAGCCATTCAATCAATCAAGCAACCAATAAAGTGCTGTACAGACAGAAAAAAGCGCGCTATAAAAAAAATTAAACTAAATACAGAAATATATATACACATTAAAAAGAAAAACACTTTTCTTTCTACCTGGTTTGAAAAGCCAAAGAGAAAAAGTGCGGCCTAAGCAAGGATTTAAAGTGCTCAAGTGAATGTGCAGTTCTAATGTGCAAAGAGAAAGAGTTCCACAGCTGTGGCCCTGTCACAGAAAAAGTCCTGTCGCCATTCAACTCTCCAACCATCTCTCCATCTATCCATTGTCTTCTGCTTTATCCGTTGCCGAGTCGTAGGTGCAGCAGTAAGAGAGAGACGACCAGACTTCCCTATCCACACACACGTCCGAGGCGTTCCTAGGACAGCTGAGAGACACAGACCCTCTATTTAGCTCTAAGTCTGTAAAATATGTGTTTTCTAATAAAACATTATGTTGTGGTCTGATTTGTTCACCAAATAGCGATATTGAGACAAACAACATGTATTTATATATATATATAAAAATAAAAAAAAACACGTACTGTAGGTACGTCCTCGTGTGCACTGTGACCAGTGAGCGCTCAGTCAGTATTCAATGTGTGGCTGAATCCACACGGTGGCGCTGTAGATAAATGTAAGCACAGGACCTCAGCTTCAGGCAGACCGCTCTCATATCACCATCAAGCGTGGCATGTGTGCCAAAATCACAGTCAGCTAAACATATGTGAAATGCAAGTCTAATGATAACTTTAAAACATGGTTCAAACAAACTTTGTAAAACTAATCAAGACACTGAACTTGTGCACAATCATTAGTAGTGGGTACGTTCTGGAACAGCAGCTCAGAGAACAGTCCCCACTGAGTCTGTGAGTGTAAAGTGACAGCTCTGTCTGACAACTCCTCTGAGAGCCTCAGAGCCTCTGCCCACAGGGAGCACACTATGGACCTCCAGAAGAAAACCGTCAAGCGACCAAACATTGATCTGTCAAACTCACAATTGCCATGGCACAAAGAGAGGTTTATTACCCCGCTTAAAAGGAAAACCGTGCAAAAAAAACAAAAAAACTGGCCAAATCCATTACAGAAGAACTCAACACTGACAAGTTTAGACCAATGTTTTAAAGTGGGGAATGTGATGCAGGGTCAAGTGACTGTTAGAACAAGTGTGTCAATTAGAGACGCCTCAGAAGCATGAATCTGTTACTGAGCTCCTGGGGCTCGGCACAACACCCACGGGTGCTATTAGGCCTTTAACAGATGACTAGAGAGGCCGCCTTTGTTTGCATGAAAAGGTCAAACTGTGTGCTGTACTATAATAGATATATCCAGGAGCCCGGAAGATAACAAAAAGTGAAAAGTTATTTTCCGCCAGGGAATTTAGTCTTTACAGTCTAAATGGATTTACAACTGTCCATCAGAGTTTTACCTCATTTACACTTGGACAAAAGACCCACACCAGGGCCTCCTGTTCCCTCAGTGGGACTACTTTTATTTTTCCAGGTTTGTTTTACTATTTTGGTAAATTTTAGAAAAACACACAGTCTTCTGATCTGACACTGATACACATGATCATCACAAAGTTTAATGCCATATTCTGGAGCTTTTTAGGAAAAACTTTCTAAACCAGGTGATTGACACTGCATTACTCACATGTACCAAGCACTCACCTCCTTGCTATGTCTGCTATTCACCAACATAACAAATCACATTTTTGACAATGAAACCAAAATCAGTAGCAGACCTGGTTTAGCTAAAATACAATTTATTTTGAGTTCACAGTTATTACAATATTCAGGATCATGTCACGTTTGCATTGTGCACAATGTTAATATGAAATGAAATGCTGCATATCAAGGCACTGACAGCCAAGTGGAGTGAAGGCCAGACCGAGAAGTGATCATTTATGAGCTGAGCTGAGTTTTCCTGGGAGGAGTGTCTTCTTAATTATCCAGATGATCACAATGGAAATGCCAGTTACTTTCTGTTGAAGCAGTGAATTAATGCCATGGTCTGCTCAAAAAACACAGTTCATTCATTTACTGCATGAGAATCTCTATGATGCAAGAAGTCCAAGTTCAGTCCAAGCTGCGAAGAAAAAGGAAAGTCTTATATAAATCTCTCTTTGACTTTGTTTGACATTGGAGCATTAAAAGCATTGGCTGTAACTGACAGAATGGCCCCATTACCTGCTGCCGGCCTCACACAGCTCCATAGCGCCTCCTCCTGCCGAAAGCCTGCGCCCCTACGTTGGTGGGCACGAAGTTGCTGTAGCCAAGTCCTCCCGAGCGGCTCAGGAAGTCAGCCAAACGGTGAGTGACGCACGTAGCAGTGTTGCATCCCCGCTTCTGCAACGTCGTATTGCTTGGAACAGGCAACAGAAAGTAGTTTAACCATATAGAAGTTTAGAGATAGAGAATATGATTGAATTTGGAAAATTTCTTACCAAAATATACAACAGATTACAGTTATAATTTGCTAGCCTCTATTGAGAAAGCTACAGATATATAATGATAAGGCTGTTTTTTTTTTATTATGCATTTAAAGACGTTGTTTAGTTTACATGCTGTTTGTACATATGCAATGAACATGCAATGGAAATGAAAAACAAAAAATTGAGTTAATTGAATGAAGTTGCAAATGGTTCAGCTACACTTCTCTTCTTCCCAGGCGTGCCCGCTCCCACATCCGTGTAGGGGAACATCTGCAGTTTGTGTATGTCCTGGGACAGTTTTCCCAGTACGCAGGTGCTCAACCCAGTGCACCTCTTGGACATGGGTCTATCCGGGCTGTTAGACACACAAAGGTAGGCCATGCACTTCAATAAACAATATCATCATGCTTAATATACATTTTACATGCAAATACATGACGTCATGCTAATGGGTAAAAACATAGGGAGACGGATCAGCTGCCATGCTTGGTTATATCGATATTATTATAGATCCATGCGTTATATTCAGGTAAAATGAGAAAAGATACTATTTATAACTATTTTTGCTCTATATATTTTCCCTATAATTGTCTTTTCTCACTAGTTGTTAGATGAACTGTTTTAATAATTCCTTAAAGATAGACTTCACGGATCCATGAGAGATTTGAGTCCTTTTTACCCATGTTTTTAAATTAAGATAAACTTTATTGTCCCAAGGGGAATTTGCTGTGGGATACAGTGCTACACAGATACAGTGCTACACAAATAAAAAGTAATATTACAGGGATAAAAACATAAACAGGAAAGTGCAGGATAGGGCTTTGAAGTCTCTGTTTTGTCTAATTCTGCATTAAAATAAATGATAAGAAATAGTTCATACTAATAGAATGCATTCATGCATTCTAAAGTTGACGGACAGAGATGTGTTGTAGTCTACCCCACTCTTCCATTCCATTCATAGAGCCATTGTTTCGTGTTTCATCTTTGCTAAAACGTTTTCTTATATTTAATCTCTATGCTAGACCAGCCTTCAGGCACTTCATTTAGTGCTGTCTGGATGAGTGCTTCTGCAGTGAGGGAGCACAATGCCAAAAAGGCCATTTAAAATGTTGTGGTTGGAAAAGTTTGCTAAATAATTCCCTCTTTACATGTACCGACCTGAAAACCACAAAATAGCACGCTCTACCTGTTGTCCTCAGCTGTCTGTGTGTCTGAAGTAGTCTGCATGAACTCCCTGATGGCACTGAGTAATCTCTGAGCCTCTTCCTCTGATAGTGTGATTCCATCCGACTCCCGACTAGATCTGGGAAATCCATATCATGAGAATTCATAACTTTTTTTCGGTCCATAAATGTTTGAACCGTCTTCTCCGTTACCTGGATGGGGCTGCATACATCTGGCAGATGACCAGGGCGTAGGCGACAAGGACAGTCCACACTTTCAACGTTATCATGATTTCCTATAAAAACACATTGAGTTTCAGAGATGATGATGGTTACAGTACTGCACACACCATGACCCCCAAGCCATAAAACCTAATGGCATTGGATTTTTTGTCTTCATTATGTGTCCAAGATCCCCCTCCCCATCACATATACTGGTAGGTATAAATCCTCCCCTTCTTTATACAGCCTCAGTGTTAACGTCACTGACTTATCTATGATACGGTGCCAGCAAATTCTGCTGCTGCTCCATTAGCGAAATTAACTGCAGTGGGCTAAAAATAATAGAAAGTCGTGAAATACACACAGTACGGCAGTATAGTTTTAAAGTTTTCTTTCGTATTTCTGTATTCCCATATTCTGCTAAACATGTGTTATGGAAATATCAGTAATCACAGCATGCATTAAAAGAAAAAAAAACATATTATACATTGAATTAAAAATGAAATATACTTACTGAGACTTGTTGGAGCAGTTTTAAGTTTTCAGTTGTTATCAGTTGTGAATCTACTAAGCAGTCTCTCACAGCAAGCTTTTATATACTGTTCATTCTCAGAGGGATTCTGCACCAAGGCGTCCACCGCTGTCTCCCCATTGGCCAGTCAAGTCCCCTACCACAACTTGCCAGCCAATCACCTGCTCTACATGAATTCCAGCGAACCAGTCAAAGGCCCGAAGGGGAATGACATCAATGTATGGTCACATGGGTTTAATTCACAAAAAAAGAGGCCCGGTCCGAGTGAACTAATGTATGCATATAGACCAGGAGGCTGCACGGAGCATGCTATGATCCGCTCCACTGCTGCTGCATGACGTAATGCTGAAGATGGGATTGTTTGCTCCGTGATCGATCAGGGGAAAGATGTTTAGATTGATCATATGCAGGGGCTTGGTGGGGTTTAAAATGAACGTAACACAGTCGTAACTGCATAGCCATCTGTCAAATACGCATTTTATTGTGTTATAAATGATAAGGCCAGTCCCTCATGTAACACTATAAGATATTCCGTTATATACGACAACTCTAATTCGTATAATAATTATCAACAGCTTAGTTATGTGTGTTTTCGTAGTGCTTTGTCTGACGACCTCCCACGGTAATCTGCATTCAGGCGGCAGAGATGAGTTTGGCATAACCGTTGCTTTGGAGTCATTCCATTCCTCACTCATTCAGGATTGTGACAGGGGACAAAGGGTTTACTAACACATAATACATTTACTACAGTCATCTTTACAGTGCTACTTTGCTGGGTCACCGCAGTAAATTATGATTCCCTAGTGGTCAGGGCGTGCATATATATTTTGGGGTTGGGTTCTACTGTACCCATTTTTTACTGGGATTGCGACATTGGCACATGTACATTGTGACTAAGACCTACTTAAAAATGGGAATAACCCAACTTCTAATCACTTCTCATTGTCTCCCCTCTCCTGTACTGCTCATTATATAAAGTACCATAATATTGGATGTGTAATGCACTTGAAAGATGTAAAGTTTGCTCATCCTTTTACCATTCATTATTCGTCACTGATAAAGCTTACACCAGAATGCAAAGGCTTCCGTGCATTTTTTTTCCACTTAATTACTGGGCTGCTGGGTTGAGGCCATCTTCTAATTCCCCTTATGTAACAATAATTGATGATGTATCGTAAAGCATCCTGCCTCCCTGCTCGCATTTACGTCACAAGGAAACTCAATAATGTGAATGGGCTTTTTAGTACTACTACTTGGCAGACACACAAGCCCCACACCAGAGCACTACATTATGCTTTAACAGCTTTACATGCTGTTGCAAACTGGCCAAAGAGGACTGGAGACTGTCGAGCAATCAAAAGCATCAGAAAACCGTCCCTTACACTTGTCAAATGGACTCTATTTAGTTTTGTAAAATGATGAGTGATAACGATTGCAAAGCAGATCACTCACATTTTGGCCTTTGAAGGTTAGCAAGAATATTCAGCATTTAAACCATGAGTTGCAGTTTTTGCACTGATTAGAGTTGCACAGTTAGCAGTTTGTCGAAATAAATGGTACAACAGCCACAGTAGATATTATAAAAAAGAAACATGTTTTACCCCATACGATACTATTGTAAGTGCTAACAAATATGAACATAGACTACTTCTAGTGCTTCGTGTGGTTCATAAGATATGGTTTATTCAACAACAAATATGTCATTATGGCACAATCAATATGAGTGTTTGCCAACAACAGTGGCTCTGGACTTGCACTGTCGGTCCAAGAGAAACAATGACGGCATTCCAAGGGGACACATGAATTGTCAAGAATGCAATTATACCACACGGTTCACCGTCATTAAAACTTGGGCATGAATTGGCCTGGAAAATTAATTGCGCTCAGTGGAGAGCATTTATGACGGAGGGCATTGCTGGTCTCTGCAGCACTCAGCAGTGACAGTCTGAGGCAGTCACATGCGCCATCATTCTCAAGCCTCTGCTAAGAAGTCCCAAAGAGAATTTCCCAAAAACCCTCTATGGAAAATGAGACTGATCATCAAATGCATTAGCAGTGGTTCTCAACTGGTGGGATTGGGACCTGGGAAACTTTTGTAAATGCTAGTTTTTACTCATAAATTAAGACAAAGGTTAGAAAAACATCTAAATCCACTAACAATAAAATTAACTTCTTCTTAATATACACATATTTGGAAAAAGAGAAAGTGTTGAGAGATGTATGACGGCCATTGTGCTCAAGATTTAGACAAAAGTTATTCCTTTTTAATAATATGTTCCACAACTTGGTGGCTTGAATTGCATTTTCTGTCTTTTTTATTGAGGAAAAAAAAAATCAACTTTAGAAACCACTACAAAACTACAATTATTAGGCCCGAGCCCCGAACGGGGAAAGGGCCTATTGTTTTTCTGCACTTTGAGCCTTAATTTCACCCCCTAAACATGCATGAAAAGTTGTAAAATTTTGCCCAAACATCAGACCTGGTGAAAAATTTGATATTTTGGTGTTTATTTTTATGGGACTCAAAAAATGCCAGAACAGCGCCACCTACAACAGCCAATGGGAGTTTCAGAGGTCAAGTTTGTCGTAGAGCCATGAAATTCGGTACACATGTTCCTCAAGTCAAGATACGACCGAAATGTTATCATGGCTCCGCCCTCTGACAAACAGGAGGCCCATAAATTTCACTGCAAAATGGAAAAATTATCCGCAATCATTTTCATACATGTCGGTTGGAAAGCGACTCCTCCTCGGCCGTTTCACAGATTGGCCTCCATATCACTCCACATTGTCTAAACACATGTACCATCAAAATGACCTCAGGGATTTTTGATCAGTGAAACGTTGTTTGAGCAGCGGAGCGGAAAAATGTGAGTGTTTATTGGCCGTTTTTCACAACCTTCTATTTGCTCCCGTTTACACATACAATTCCGATTTGCACAAAACTTGAATCCAATGTTCAACTCCAGGGTTTAGGTCAGGTGAAAGTGAAATATTTGAAATTGGCCCAATAGCGCCCCCTACAGATTGAGGCAAAGTTTTACATAGGGTGCCAAACAGCTCTAATCATCATATTCATTACAATTTGACTAACGTTCTTCAATGGCAAGAGCAACAAATCATCACACGGCGGCCCCACCTCTGTTGCACGGTGCTGCATGGTACGGTGTGGTGCGGCGTAGTGCGGGGGATTGTGAAGCGGCGCGTTGCGGCTTGGTGCGGGGCGGCGTGGTGCAGATCCGCTTGGTGCGGGGCGGCTTGGTGCGGGGCGGCTTGGTGCGGGGCGGCTTGGTGCGGGGCGGCTTGGTGCGGGGCGGCTTGGTGCGGGGCGGCTTGGTGCGGGGCGGCTTGGTGCGGGGCGGCTTGGTGCGGGGCGGCGTGGTTCGGGGCGGCTTGATGCATGGCGGCTTGGTGCGGGGCGGCTTGGTGCGGGGCGGCTTGGTGCGGGGCGGCTTGGTGCGGGGCGGCTTGGTGCGGGGCGGCTTGATGCGGGGTGGCTTAATTCGGGATGGCTTGGTGCGGGACGGCTTGGTGCGGATTGATGCTGGGCGGCTTGGTGCGGAGCGCCTTGATGCGGGGCGGCTTGGTGCTGGGCGGCTTGGTGCGGAGCGCCTTGAAGCGGGGCGGCTTGGTGCTGGGCGGCTTGGTGCGGGATGGTGCTCGCGGTGCGGGGTGGTGCCCGCGGTGCGGCGAGGGCCGTTCGACGCCGCTTGCGGCTTTAATTATTAATGTAATTGCTATATGTGATGTTTTGTCATGTCCACAATTGAAATAAATAGTGCATTTCAATTGTGGTTGTAAAAATGTAAAACTTGCCTCGTTGCCAGATATCTTGAACTTAGTTACTTAGTTACTTAGTTACGCAACAAAACAAAGTAATCATTTCAAAGTTGTTCCAGTTATTATGAAAATGGTGTATTTTCTGTGTCTGAACTGTTGATTCTCTGATCTGTTTTGGTGATTTCAATGGTTTTATTAAGTGAGCACTCTGAGATGACTGCTGTTGTGATTTAGGGCTATACAAGAATGTATTGTATTGTATTATTGTGTGATTCAATGCTTTTTAAAATAACAAGTTTGTGAAATTATACCTACCAAAAAAGGCTGCATATATTTAACAGTCTAAATTAGACCGTGTAATGCATCAGGCTCCAATTGAAGTTCGCAACTGCTGATCTTGACTCTAAACTGTGCCAACATTTACACACCTGCAGGACGCTCCACATGGATTATCTGCTTCATTCTGACTCGGAAATGATGAAAGTTCAAGTGCACTCTCTTGAGTCAACCTTCCGGCCCAGCAGTGACCAGTAGTCGTCACACTTACTGGTCACTGGCATGCACTATAATGGAAGGGGTATTCACAAATGTACCTTTATGATAAATGTACCAAACCAGCTGGTGACTGAGATTAGATATGATATGTAAAAGCCCACAGATAGGCACCTGACACGTTGGTGGCTGCTGAGGCGATTAGCTAACAGGATAATACTGCAGCGACAACACGTTTATTTGATTACATTTGACAGATGTTTT